ACTGCGGACTATATCATTTTATGAAAATATATATAGATATGTATACAAAACCAAGTCTAGCCAGCTCCCGCTAGCTCTATTACAATGAACTCTTACATGAGAAGGATCCACGAAGATCCGGGGTAGAATAGGTCTTCAGCAACTCATGCTTGCCGTAAAAGGCGACTATGCTTGTCGTTAAAGGCGACTAACGGGATCGGCTGGTCAGGCTCGCTGACTTGGTTGAAGCACGTCAACGATCCCAATTGCGTGGGTGGATGCTCATGATATCAATCACTGGATTGTCTGGCCCAGAATCGATTATTTACAGACCGCCGTCATATAGCTGGAATATTGCTGAAGGCAGCGTTACACAACAATTTGCAGAGCATGCCGGACGTCTGCCAGACATTTTGCAAATCTTTTATGCTCTTAATCAAAGTGCTCAAGTGATTTGATGTTCTTCGCGAGGTACGGCCCGTACACCCATACACAGCATTCGTGGTGAATAGGTTACCCTGCATTTAAACCGATATGCATGGGTTGCTCCCTCTTGCGTCGGGATGTCGTTGACAGTTCTCAAGGGTTTTTTTCAATGTCACGTAGTGCATCCCGTATCTCCAATACAATAAACCTCTCCTGCCTTCAGATCGCTGATTGTATACAGGCAACCACCATCGGGGCGTGGGAAGAAATCTCGAATGTGATGCACATAACTTCAGCAAATTATATATAGCTGTAAGGAGCAATGGCTTGTTCCATGTGACGCGCGTACAAACGTACGCAAAAATATTCGGCCATATTCAAATTCTCAAATGGTTTGCTAGTACCGACGCCGTCAATAGTAAGGCACTGCATGCAGTATATCGCTGCTGTGAAGTTCGCATATGCCGGAGTGTCCCTGGGTCTTCTATATCCATTTCAATCCTCAAATGGTTTGCTTGTACCAACGCCGTCAAAAGTTAGGCACCGCTTGCGCTTACATCGCCGCTACGACCTTGGCGTGTGCCGGAGCATCCTTTGGTGTTCTTAACCCATTTCTGACCTCGTCCATAATCAAAATACGTCAAAGTGCACCGCGATTCGCCTTCATGCATTTGACCTAGGACTTTACCATGGACACCAAAGTTTGTTCGATGCGTTCGGATCCGATTTCAAATAAATGCCAATTATATGCCAAATTATGTCACCTAATGTCAATTTGTTTCTACGTTTCTTTAGAATTATCATAGATAGATAATCTTTTTTTCCTCCCATAATTGAAGATACATGAAATGTCAAAGTAACACAATTTTCCAATGTCTGTAATCGTTCTCCATGTTTGGCTTGTCTTATCATACAGTTATCATTCTTCTCCGCCCTACGCACAAAGCGGAAGATATAACCAAATGTTTCCAATAGGTTTTCCTTCCTTTTTCATTGGCCCTTGTAGACACATAATATCGTCCATTGAATAACTTCTTGGATATTACCATGGATCTCTTCACATCTTTCTGTGCCAGATATTGAACGCTGTCAAACACATGTGGCTTCTTACCGCGATACGGCTGAATATTCTTTGATTTCATGATGGTAGTTTAAGGGTAGATATTTGCTAGCTTTATATTCATACGTGACGTCACAACCCATCCGCGTCTACAGTTGAACCGAATGTAAGAGGGGAAAATATATAGACGTTGTGGGACACTCAGATCCTGAAAGTCAAACTTCTGATAACTTTCTTTTGACAGTGACACTTTTGCTATGTCCATTCTTGATAGTTTACTAACAGAAACGTTTGGTGTCACTTTAATACAAATTTTGTTTTCGTCCTTACTTACTGATGGTAGCAACCTCTGCATTTATAAATTTCAGTTTGTCTCTCATGTTGATCGTGTCGTTTTAATATGTCTGTCACTAATACGTTTTACTTTACCAACATGTCCATGTTCATTGTTTTTCTCTATTATTCATATTTCAATTAGTCTATTGTTTGTATACAAACACCAACTTTCCCGTATTGCGAAAGACTATTGATGCTTACCTATTCATACCTCACATACAAGATCTAAAGAGGTAACTCACATCCATAATAGAAGAATACTTATTTTTCTGTTTAAAAAGGGCTAATTCATACCTATTTGATAAGAGATAGTGACGCTTTGCACTCTTTTTTCCAATGCGTGCATCATACTAGTTGACAAACAAACATCTACACACAGTTCGTTGAATTGTTTAGATACATGACCTTTCAATGAACATCGCTGACACTACCGGTGTATTACACGATGGTCAGATGTGTGACATTTGTCACACCTTGAAGTGACTTGAGGTTTAGCACGTATTTTTTATTTTCATCCCCACCTTGGCTACACCTCTCGTTTATCCTCTATGAGACACACGTCAGGTGAAGGAGAATGAACCTGCCGACCACAATGCGATACGGTCACGCCTTCATACTGACTGACCCGTCTTTTAGGATTCAAAATGTCATCTATCAATACCTCAGTAATCTTATCTACATATTCATGACAACGTCTGTATTCATCTTTAAGCTCCTCCCCTTCCTGCATCATCTGCATCATTCATCTGTCATTAATTATTATTCATATTGTCATAGGACCCGTGAAGATCCGGGGTAGAATAGGTCTTCAGCAACCCATGCGTGCCGTAAAAGGCTACTATGCTTGTCATAAAAGGCGACTAACGGGATCGGGTGGTCAGGCTCACTGACTTGGTTGATACATGTCGTCGTATCCCAATTGCGTGGATCGATGCTCATGATATCAAACACTGGATTGTCTGGTCCAGACTCGATTATTTACAGACCGCCGTCATATAGTTGGAATATTGCTGAGTGCGGCGTTAAACAACAAACCAACCAACCAACCAAACAATCATATTGTCATAGTGCGGAATCTTGCTTAATAATTCATATCAAAATATAAAAATAATATTCAAAATTTATCAAATACACTTTGCAGTCAAACCACGGACATCTTCCATGTGACTTTTTGATTTCACTTAAGAGTTACAATCATATCAGGGTTATGTCAAACCTCGAGGCAGTTACATATGTCGTCTTTCAAAGGCATTCATGTTTCAAATAAAATAATTCAGATCCAAACAGTTCATTATAAAGCGAGTGGTGTGTCGTGCTGTGCCTGTTGTTTGATTTTCGATATTGGTATTGAAAGAAAACAAATAATATGAAATATAAAATTTATGATTCAGCTAAAGGTACGTGCACGTGTAAAAACTACATTTTGAAGTCAACTAAAGAAGATCGTCAACACCTTAAATTGTATATTCTTTTGAAATGAACACGTTCCTTATTTCAATATCGTATTCAGTCCCACACAGTACTATACAAAGCATTTGTCTATTTTACATGTATACTACCCCACGACCACAACATGGTTTATTTCAAAACATTTCCCGTCTCGATGAACACAAGTACACCGGCAAACATGAACTTTTGTTTGTTAAACAATTTTTGTCCATTAAAACACGTGTTATTTTAAAGGGGAAATTTAAATATTTAGTTGTCTGTTCAGGTAACTAATTTTAGCTATTTTTACTGAATAAAATATTAGTTAAACAACATTAGCTTACTTCGTGCTGAAATGTGTGGCCTGGCTAACTTCAAATATTCATGTCAAATAAAACCCAGACATCTGAGGCATATTTATTTAACACCAAATGCTAGAAAATAACCAGTCTCGATTTTCCAATGAAACAGATTTCTTTGGGCGTAAAATGCGCACACGTGCTGTGGGAGGTACAATGCATAAAAAAATATTTAACTGTCGAAGTCAAGTATAAATAATATAATATATACACATGAAAACAAACAAAAAACATGTCTGGTACAAATAGTTTTGTATACAATGTCTTAAATATAAATGACATATCTTTTCCTTAATGTAGAGTCAATTGTTTAATTACGGCTGTATATTGTTATAATTGCTTTGACTATGATACTTTTGTGATATCCATATATAACTAAGGCCAAGTTCGTCAAACATTCGTTTCATGCATTACATCCATATATGTTTCCATGTTCCCTTTAAATATAATTTAGGGGGCACGGGTGGTCCAGTCGTCTAAGGAGCCGCGATTCGCTCTGCAGAGTTGCATCCCTGGACACGCCAGAAACCTATGATTGTGGGTTCGAATCCCGGTTCGCCCCAATTATGTTATTAGGTTTGTCAGCACCATACCCGTGCTCGTGGGTTTCACCGAAGTGGTAAACGTCTGAGATCTGCATCACTTCGGGCGTTCCTCCCTCATCAAGCTGACACGCCGTGATATAACTGGAATACTGTTAAAATCGGCGTTAAGCCCAACTCATTCACTCATTAAATATAATTTAAATAAAATTATCATTGTTGCCCTTGTTTGTCTGGTTTCTATGCAGGCTGACATCGCATGACAGGAGTACAGCTATGCGTCGTCAGCAATAAATACTTTCTTTTTTATGTAAATTGTATGAATGGCGGGGGCTACCGATAGGGCGTAACGACATGCTTACCCTTGTCGCGAACACCTGGTGGTCCATTCATATAATTTCCACAGCTTTTGTGCCCTTTGCACCAAATTGAATTTGTTTCGGCAGCAAAGCTGGGCTAGGCATTGCCACCTGATATTGTTATCGTTCAGGTCTTCAAGTAATGAAGTTAACGAAGTTCAAGGCATGCCGGAATGACGCTCACGCCTTGCTAATCACGATCAAAGGTGACGTCCGTCGTGGACTGTCAACAACAATTTGTTTATAACTGTAACTATTAACGGCTTCCGAGATGTATCTGGGCAACAGGTGGCCAAGTCGGTAAAGGCGCCGCACCACATATAGCATATTAGTATTCATACATTATTAAGATTATTAACCATAAATATTAATGATGATAGGGTCATGTAAACGTTGACGCCCTTCATGATACCGATGTGTATGTGTTTGTCATGTTAATGTTGAGGTTGTGTATGAAGCCGATGCATTCCAAGCCTGTGATTAAACGCCAGTTGTGTCCTGTAAGTAAACAACGACTACGTTATCCATTACTTTCATCTTGATTTTTTTTCAGAGATAACAGTTCAAGGCACAAGAATGAATCTCAGGTCTCGACGTCAGTGTCAACTCGTTGCATTTTGCAGTTGCCCGTTGGTTCTGATAGCACTCGCCTACTCATTTCTAGGAATCAAGGGAACAGTACATTATAGTACATTTCAAATCTTGAGCGGAAAAGGCCAAGTTTCCTATGGGAATAATGACAGTGCTTCAGGAATACAAACCCCTCCTGAGGAATATTTTGTCAGGCCTCGGTGGGAAAAGAAATATTTCATCTATGACTGTGCCAACGGTAACTGTGGTGGTCTAGGGGACAGACAGGAAGGAATTGTCGGTGCTTTCATTATTTCACAAATGTTAAGCCGGAAGTTCAAAGTGAAGATGTTGGTACCATGTGATATCGGTAATTTCCTCCAAGCAAACAAAGTTGACTGGATTCTACAAAGTTCTGAAATTAGTGACCTGAAAAGTAGCGCATACAAGCGAATTGACGCTGATGCATTTAAGCTACGAGATAAAATTGCAAAATCTCTTGATTTAGAGAAGGAATTTCCTTCCGATGTCACACATTTTACTGTTAATCAAGAAATGGTTAACTATCTAAAGTTACATCCACTATTTAAGTCTCTTCGGTGGGCACATAATCAGACAACAACTGACATATACAATATTGTTTTACGGCGGTTGTTTAGAATGAAACCTGAAGTCCAGAAAAGGTTTGATCTTTATCAATCTTCAGCCCGTAGCAACGGGAGGAAACTCGTGTGTGCTCATGTGCGTGTGAGGGGGAATCCTACAATTCCAAATGATTGGTATACTCCCACACCCTTGAACGTAAGTGTTGTTTGGAACTTCCTCCGCCAGTATAATAACAGCGCCCTCTATCGGATGTTCGTAGCCACAGACTCACAGAACGTGCGACAGGACGCAAAGAGGCTGTTTCCAGATGTCATTCAAGATTTGGAGGGGAATATAGTTCATGTTGATCGTGACAATCATGCAAAAGATTACGCATGCGCGGGGTTTGGTAAAGTGATTCTTGATCAACAAACGATGTCATCATGTGACGTATTCTTTATGACAGACAGCGGACTTGGACGAATCGCATCCATGATGCGAGGAACAGATAAAGACCTGTACTGTATGGCTAGCAAGTCCACCTACAGAAAGTGCTCTTTTAGTGATAAAGCTTTCTTTCCACAGTTCTGGTAGGTGCCATAGTTGCAAGTGTGTGCATACGCCTGGTGTCTGTTGTAGGATAGGCCCCAAATCACACACGGCTGTACGACGATTATAATATTGTAATCATCAAATGTTCCCAGGGAACACACGTCTTTATTCACATTACTGTAAACATGTCCTAACGGTCTAACATCTTCTTCATTCTACCTTGCAACGCATCCCCTTCGTCCGCCATATTCGTTCTACATTCCTTAAGAGTTATCCCCCCTTCACTGCCCGTACATCAAGCTCCTCACAGCGATAGTCCGTTCGCGGAGCTCTCTATACTTTCGCTGCCACCAGTCAAAATTCTCCACTGTGATGGGTGGCCCCAACCATTCTCCGAGCCGAATGACCGTTATGTTTACAAACATGTGACGACTGTTGTGACGCCGAATACACTTACCGCTGATAAATTACTTTCTTTGTTTGTCAGTTTGAATTTATATATCATTAAAACTATCATGTAATTGATATAGTAAGAATGTAAAGGAGAAGTTTGTTGATTTTCCGTTAGTCTGCAATCTCGAACCAATCTATTCAAGTAAATTCATCTGGAAACCATGGTCAGTCCTAAACCTTTTCAAAATGAAATATGATGGCATTACCAAAGACATAAACAAAAGTATGAACGTTACTACGTTTCGGGTCAGAGGGCAAATTTCAAGATTCTTGTAATGGCCGCGCCCACACTGGTGTCAGCGAGGTTACCGAGAGTGTAATGAAGGTGTCACGCGCTGGGAAGGAAATTGGCCCATACATGTATGGTAACACAAGTTACCTCCTCTTATACTACAATATCAAGCACTGGCCGTCGTGATATTAGCAGAGATGGAGTTAAACATCAAACCCAAAACACGTAATATCACCACATCCCAGAGCGACTGCCCGGAGAGCAGAAGGTCGGTGGGTCGATCCAATGACAGCATCATTCCACAAGACGTTAAAAGATAGCAATTAATGTTACGCTGCCTGGCGTTGTAATTAAAGCAAAGGTATATATTTCCTCCACTGTGCGTGTGTGGAATGTGTGTACGGATAAACATTGCCCTCTTTACCAACACGTGTTTGTGTTTTTATTGGTATATGATACTGCATGGAAGGCTAAGCAAAATATTGAAGCAAATCATTGATATTCGCGTATTTGCCAACAGCAGAATTGAACACGGTTCATGAACAAAAGTCAAAATATGGCGCCACAGGTTTGATCATTAAGGCATAACATAGGTTTTTTACCAATAAAGCATAATATTGGTTTTATCAATAAGCCATAACATGGGCTTTATCAATAAAGCAAAACATATGTTTTGATCAATAAAGCATAACATATGTTTTATCAATAAGCCATAACATATGTTTTATCAATAAAGCATAACATAGGTTTTGATCAATTAACCATAACATAGGTTTTATCAATAAGCCATAACATATGTTTTATCAATAAAGCATCACATAGTTTTTATCAATAAGCCACAACATAGGTTTTATCAATAAAGCAAAACATATGTTTTGATCAATTAACCATAACATAGGTTTCATCAATAAGCCATAACATATGTTTTATCAATAAAGCATAACATATGTTTTGATCAATGAGCTATAACATATGTTTTATCAATAAAGCATAAGATATGTTTTGATCATTAAGCAATAACATAGCTTTTTTCAATCAAGCATAGCATAAGTTTTTATCAAAAAGGCATAACATAGGTTTTATCAATCAAGCATAACATAGGTTTTGATCAATAAGGCATAACATAGTTTTTTCTTTGTTTTTGTCTAGTTTCCATTATCAACATCGCCTTGATAATCTACAGATATGGCGGAAACCTTTTTGTGTAGGGTCACATTATTTATGAGTAGTAAGCAGTACATAGGATGACGTCACTTATGACAGTGGTGTTGTGTATTAATGCGCTACTGCAATCATGAGAATAGACAAAATGCATCGGTTCGCTGTTAATAAGATGCGATTTGTGGGTGTGTAAGTAACAGATTACTGCACTCGTGCCTGTCAGATACCATTGATCATACAACTCGTTGTTACAAAGCGTATCTAACTCGCTTTCGCTCGTCATATGCGTTTTGTAACAACTCGTTGTAAGATCAATGGTATCTGACAGACACTCTTGTAGTAATCTCTATATCCATAAATTGTGTCAACGTTGTCAGCACAAACATGTATACAAGCGGAGAGGTTTTGCGACTGATATACTTCCATTTTAGGTACCAGAAATTGGTAGGTAAATATCAATATCTGACAGTGTACTTTGTGTAGTTCTCCCGTACGGGTACCCATGCAAATCCCACTCATGGAATACAACTTGCTTAAGGTAGAGATGTAGATTCAGGCCTAGATGTGAGTGTCAACATAACAGTCATTCATTCGAACACTCGTTGATTACAAATAATTGTGAGTTCAGTGGTGTAAGAGGGGCGGTGGGGTAGCCTTGTGGTTAAAGCGTTCGATCGTCACATCGAAGACCCGGGTTCGATTACCCACATGTGTACGATGTGTGAAGCCCAATTCTGGTGTCCCCCGCGATGATATTGCTGGAATAATGCTAAGGGCGACGTAAAAACCATACTCACTAACTCATTCACTCGTCGCTTATGTGTGAATATGTATTTTCATCGCTTTTACGAATATTCCACCCATATCAATGCGGGAGACACACATACAAACATACATACATACATACAGACAGACAGACATAGTACTCTTGTGTGGCATCCAATCTGCTAATGATTTAAAGACAAAGCTATCCCCACCGCGACACATTGTGATGATGTGTCTAAAGAGCATTGCTTTTGATATCATGACTTTCGACTTCGTTGTTGTCACACGAGTTACCCACTAATAACCCTATACTCGAAATGGACTGCCTCCGTGGTCTAGTGGTAGAGCTGTCCGCCCGGAGAGCTAAAGGTTCGGGTTTCGATCCACGGCCGCGTCATATCAAAAGACGTTAAAAGATGGTACTTGTCGGCGCGGAGTCAGTGTATTGTTTCTGAGTGGGGTATTCATGTTAAACTGCGGCATGGTATCTCACTTTTAAATCAGCATTAGTCCGAACTAGTACAAACAGGCGACGTTAAACCCCATTTCACCTCACCAGCTCACTCGAAATGACCCATCCCTTTCATAGCTATCGCTCACACACATAAATGTATGCTCATGATAAACATACATATACATCGTGGGGCGGTGGGGTAGCCTAGTGGTTAAAGCGTTCGGTCGTCCGGGTTCAGTTCGCTCACATGTACATCGTAAAATCGATTCAGATTTTGCAGCGATTATCTCATGGATATGGAAAGGATTTTGTTACTTTTATTTACCTTGTACTCAAGTGACCCACCCCTTACACTTCATTGGAGTCACCCAACACTTACACTACACCCGAATCATCTTCCATTTACCCTACACTCGAGTCTTCCACAACTAACCTTACACTCGAGTCATCCACCACTCAACCTACACTCGAGTCATCCACCACTTATCCTACACTCGAGTCATTCACCACTTACACTACACTCGAGTCATCTTCCACTTACCCAACACTCGAGTCATCCACCACTTACCCTACACTCGAGTCATCCACCACTTACCCAACACTCGCGTCATCCACCACTTACACTACACTCGAGTCATCCACCACTTATCATACACTTGAGTCATCTTAAACTTACCCTACAGTCGAGTCATCCACCACTTACCCAACACTCGAGTCATGCACCACTTACCCTACACTCGAGTCATCCATCACTAATCCTACACTCGAGTCATCCACCACTTAGACTACACTCGAGTCATCTTAAACTTACCTTACACTCGAGTCATCCACCACATTACTTACACTCGAGTCATCCACCACTTACCCAACACTCGAGTCATCCACCACTTACCTTACGCTCGAGTCACCCACCACTTACCCAACACTCGAGTCATCCACCACTTACCCTACACATGAGTCATCCACCACTTACCCTTAACTCGAGTCATCCACCACTTACCCTACACTCGAGTTATTCACCACTTACCCAACACTCGCGTCATCCACCCCTTACACTACACTCGCGTCATCCACCACTTATCCTACACTTGAGTCATCTTAAACTTCCCCTACACTCGAGTCATCCATCACTTACCCTACACTCGAGTCATCCACCACTTACCCTACATTCGAGTCATCCACCACTTACCCTACACTCGAGTCATCCACCACTTACCCTACACTAGCGTCATCCATCACTTACCCTACACTCGAGTCATCCACCATTTACCCTACACATGAGTCATCCACCACTTACCCTACATTCGAGTCATCCATCACTTACCCTACAATCGAGTCATCCACCACTTACCCTACACTCGAGTCATCCACCACTTACCCTACACATGAGTCATCCACCACTTACCCTACACTCGAGTCATCCATCACTTACCCTACACTCGAGTCATCCACCACTTACCCTACACTCGAGTCATCCACCATTTACCCTACACATGTGTCATCCACCACTTACCCTATACTCGAGTCATCCATCACTTACAATACACTCGAGTCATCCACCACTTACCCTACACTCGAGTCATATTAAACTTACCCTACACTCGAGTCATCCACTACTTACCCTACACTCGAGTCATCTTAAACTTACCCTAAAATTGAGTCATCTTAAACTTACCCAACACTCAGTCATCCACCACTTACCCTACACTCGAGTCATCCACCACTTACCCAACAGATTCAGATTTTGCAGCGATTATCTCATGGATATGGAACGGATTTTGTTACCTTTATTTACCTTGTACTCAAGTGACCCACCCCTTATCCTTCATTGGAGTCACCCAACACTTACACTACACCCGAATCATCTTCCATTTACCCTACACTCGAGTCTTCCACCACTTACCCTACACTCGAGTCATCCACAACTTACCCTACACTCGAGTCATCTTCCACTTACCCTACACTCGAGTTATCCACCACTTACTATACACTCGAGTCATCCACAACTTACCCTACACTCGAGTCATCTTCCACTTACCCAACACTCGAGTCATCCACCACTTACACTACGCTCCAGTCATCCACCACTTACCCTACACTCGCGTCATCCACCACTTATCCTACACTTGAGTCATCTTAAACTTACCCTACAGTCGAGTCATCCACCACTTACCCAACACTCGAGTCATGCACCACTTACCCTACACTCGAGTCATCCATCACTTATCCTACACTCGAGTCATCCACATCTTAGACTACACTCGAGTCATCCACCACTTTCCTTACACTCGAGTCATCCACCACTTACCCAACACTCGAGTCATCCACCACTCAACCTACACTCGAGTCATCCACCACTTATCCTACACTCGAGTCATTCACCACTTACACTACACTCGCGTCATCCACCACTTACCCTACACTCGCGTCATCCACCACTTACC